GGAGTAACAACACATGACCGAGATGGCAACGGAAAACCGCCGTGGTGGGGCTCCGGTAAGGCCAGACCCACGAAAAGCGCGAGACGGAAACTGGGGGTTGGTTTCCCCGGCGCATCTCACATCCATCTCGATCGGGGGAGCCCCAGCCTCCAGGGCGCTCTCAGCCTCGAGGGGGCAGCGGCCCGGGTCCACCCGTCACGGGCGATCAAGCTAGTGTAGCGGGTAGTTAATTATTTTTTTCCCTTCGCGAAACAAAAGTGTTGCGGAGTGGCCGGAGGCAAACGTCTTCTTTTCGCGGGAAGACCGACTGCGATTTGAGACGGCCGCGAGGAACAAGACACGACCGTCAGTGGCATGGGACGAGACAAGGCGGCTTGGGGTGGGCTCACTCAGTGATCGCTGACGTGTTTGGCCGAGTCTGGCTCGCGGTAAACAAAGAACGAATAATGTCAGGCAGAAGGGTAGCAGTTCCGGATCTCTGGGACCTGGACGGCGGCTGCGCGCCGTGATATTATGCAGAACTTGCAGAGAGTCGAGGTTTTTCTTGGTGGGCGCACGCCGGTCTCAACCCCTGGAGGAGAAGGCGCCGAGACGCGAAGAATGGAAGAGTGATCGGAAGCTCGGATTGGGAGACCGCAGGGGAAGGGGGGGAGACAAATCTCGCTGCGGATATCCACACTCCCGTCGCAACCGACCTTGTGAAGGACGGGGGCGCATTGGTGCGGAGCTCCCCGGCGGCCACGAACAGCACAGGACAGGACGGCCAACGGGAGAGTGGATGCTTCTTGGGCATGATCGAAATGTTAACGTTGCCAAGTCGGGTTTTCGAGAGCAATCTTCACAGAAGGGGCAACGCTGCCCAAGCTGGGTCCTCTTCGTGATCCGGTCACCTTCCGGGGAAGACTGCCCGTGCGCACCCGGTCTTTTTCTGGAGGAAAAAAAACGGTCGCTCCACCGGGTATTGATGCTAGGCGTATTACCACTGTATGTACGAAGTAGTATTCACAGCATTGGCACTGGTACAACTTGGTGGTCGGTCAGTCATCACTTTCATGCCTGTCGCGTTCTTCATTTAGGCGATATTTCCCATCTAGCGATCATGCGTCATGACGAGCTGCTGTGTGACCCCTGGGACCTGAACGTTCCCAGGGGGGTTGCTCATCAACCCGCAGCCCGCAGCACACAACCAGCCAAGGCAGGGTGGCCAGGCAGGGGCGATGCTTGTTAATGTCGAAAACTGGCGATTGGCGGAATGGCGAAATGATTCGGAAACCCATTTCCCTCTTTCCCTGACACTGAGACCCTGCCGTGCTCAACTAGCGCAAGGAGTGGGTCGCAAGTGTCGCGGAAAGTTTGCATTCGTGACATTGAGGGTGAGGGGGCGTAAACTCCCCACGGACGGTTCGAGCAAAGACCGGGCAGCAGACGCGGGAAAGCCCATGTATTTCCTGTGATGGTCATCCGCGATCTCTTTTCGCCCTTCTGTTTCAGGCGGCGAAGCGGTATCATCGCGTCTCATTGCGCGGTTCGGCGAGCTTGTTGGTTGTGCGGCCGATGGTGTTGGTGGTCGAGCTGCATGGGTCGCCGCCTTCGTGCCCAATGACCACACGAAATAGGCGCGCTCATAGTTTTCTAAAGTGTGCCGAACCACCCGGTGATGCCCTGATGGTCAAGAAAGAGGGGGCAGGACTCCGATCTGCACGCATCAAAGGCCGGCCAGCTCAGCTCTTCCGCCTTTTTCCCTCACTTTCCCCTCCACTGACCGCTCAGGTTGCGATGCGGAAACGGTATAGCGCGACCCGACAGACTGGTAAGCCATGTCATTGGTGTGCGCACCCCTGTCCGAAGCTCCCAGTACCAATCAGATCTCAGGAAATCGACGACCCCAAGCACACAAGCGCGCACCACAGTGCGTTTGCTCTTCCCTGCCCCCAAAAGAAGTCCTCAGGCCCCGCTGTGCCGTAATCGGCGCCGAAGACTCGAAACACCGAGTCTGTTTTTAGCGATCTTTTTCGTCCGTTTCCTGTGGAGGGCCGACCGCTGTGAGGAAGACTCTGCGTTGTCATTAAACCACGAGCGAATTCCCGTTATCGCTGTCCCCAGTACGTGCTGTTGTAGTCGGACTTACCGTCTCGGGATTGTTACGAACGAAACGACGCATAAACGGCAGACGGCAGCCCGTTTTCACGATTGCTGTCTTTCCATCCAGAAGCGGAATGCTACTACCGGGGCCTGATACCTAATGATGCGCTCCGCTTGGGACAGCCTTCAGGTGGGTGATACAGCAATGAGCCAAGTACGGAATAGAATGTACAGGAACTCATGGGGCTGGAGGCCTGCGTTGACCCTCACCAGTTGGGTTGCCACAAGGCATCGTATGCTTCTTCTCTGCTTTAGTTCTTCTTCTTTAGGTGTGGCAGGGATATTGATTGAACCCGGAGGGTTAAGCAGTCGGTCGTTTGCTCTGCCTCGGAATATCCGATCGCTCCTGCAGGTTCTGTACCTTACCATGATGAGAGCGAGAGACCGTGCACAGAAGCCTGTGGATTTTGGGCAGGTACAGTGGGGAGCACCAAAGTGGGCAGCCACACGGCCTTGCTGGGTCCCACTAACCCGCCATTTGAAGCTCCCCTCCTCGGGCAGCACAGCCTCGACTTCTTCCCCGCTCTCTTCCTGGCGCACCCGGCACAGCTGTTTCGACTGAATGGAGTGCCATGATGGAACATGCCGAGAGGTGACCCTGCTCTCAATTTGCTGTATTGCGGCAGTCGTTTCTCAGCCCATTCATCTGCCCGGCCCCTTTTTCGGGCCGCTGCACCCTCGAGCCACCCGCGCAGATCCGAAGCCAAGGCGTGCGCTGCCCCTCTGCCCCAGATTCCACATCCGCAGCCAGGCCCCGGCCCATTTCGTACTGCGCGCAGAACATGGAATGGAAGAATGCCACAGAGTAAGTGATCAAGGTCCGTCGCGGGTTCAATTCGGCCAACGTGAGTAATGGCCGGTGCGAGTCCCGGCAATTGGCGACGTAGTTAGTCGCACCGCTCACTGGCCCGGCCACGCCGGACCGGACAGAACCTCAGGGCGGGTAACCAGGACTTGCGATGGGTTCATCTGCCTCTCGTTCTCAACACCACCAGTCTCAAGCGACACACGACGCGTGCAGCATTTCTGGTCAGGTGCGGATTGACCATGCAGGGGCAGCACACATGCCAGGGTGAACCAGTCCGGCCAAACCGCCAGCAGCAGCAGTGCGCGATCGAGATGTGCCGCGGCAGGAGAGAGGAAAGCCCTTGGGGCGTCTATCTCTCCCTCCAGCTCGAACCAACTGCTCTGATCGCGACCAACAAGAAAGAGTAACGGCGGCTATCTCGCAGCGCACACCCGCCTGGTCGCACAAACCGGGGCTTGCTTGTCGTCCTCCGTTCGCCGTGGGTTTGGAAAAAACCCGTTCCTTGGCCAGTCTTGTCACGGTACCATGGACGAGGTCCTCGCCGTTTGAGGTATTGTAAATTCCTGTATACCTACCGGCTCCGTCCTGCGAGACGGTGATGGCCTTGCTTGGTCTCCCGGTCTTCACCCGGGCGAGGACCGCCCTGGTAACTAGACAATATGTGCACCGAAATCGCTTCCGCGACGCCGCCTTCACAAATTCAGGGCTTCTGGGCCTTGAACAAGGATGATGCCGTCGGAAGCAGACGCAGGGAGGCTTCAGTCATCCAGGCGCCGGAGGCCCCCGGGGTTACTCCTTGCCGTTGAAGATTGATGCTCTAACGTCAAGGCAACCTGCAAAACTCGCACCGGTTCGAGAATGGCGACAGGGCGGGTTCGTCCTTCTTCTGCCTTGGCAAGTATTCGGGCAATCAGCAAGACGTCGCCAAGTCACACCGGGTGGGAGAGGGTCGGAGGCTTGCGCCGAGTGCCGGGCGACCGTTGTTGCGATGTCACGATCAGAGACAACGCCCGCCTTCCCGGCCCCGGCGACGGGACGCCTCGTCGAGCCATCCACCCCGCTTCGTGTTACTCATGAGCCACCAAGGGCAAAGATGCCGGAAGTGAGGCAAGATAGAGAGGAAGAACGCCTGGCCGGCCTAGGCCTCTGATTCTTCTCAACTGCTCTGCCACTTTGGACGACAGAGCTAGGGCGCCTCAAGAGGTCGCAGAAGAGCACAAGCCTCAAGACGAACCATTGCCTTGAATTCTGATCCGAGAATGACCGTTTAGGGCCCAGATGTTCCCAATGGGTGCGTTTCCAGCCCAGTTGAGACCGGCGTGCACAGTTTTGGAACGGTCGGCGCCTAAAAGTCCAGTAATGTTCAAAAAGGTACCAGGATACAGGACGGGGGGGGGGGTTCGGGAATTGGGGGAGGGGGGGTGTGGGATAAACGGTGGGGTGTCGACATACACTACACTTGCATATCACACACGCCCCATCGCCCACATTCATTCACCTTTGATTGAGGTGGTGTTGACATGGGTCTGCTTTTTGAACGCGGGCCAAAAACTTCCCTCGCGTTGACCATCTCGCCTGGGCCTACATCTACTCGCTTTTCGCCCCACCATTTTCCCCTCCGAGAGCTCCTCCTCCTTCTCTCTTCCTTCTCTTCACCAAGATAGAAAGGGCATCGACCTCGCCTGTCAGATCAGCCTCCTCTGTCTCAAACGTTCCCCAGTTCCTTCGACGCCGCACCCTGCCCCACTGCTGGGCCACACTCGGATTTACCATTACCAGCCTGGTGTATTAAGAGAAGGTAACGCCGCCCTTCCTTTTACCATCTGCCATTTTGCAATTCCCAGATTCAGTTCGAAAAGAGTCAAAATATCGAAAAGAACATCCCAATAGCAAGAATAAAAAAAAAGGGCGAGAAACTGAAGCGTCGAGTTCCTGTGCTTCCTTTCCTCACCTCTCTCTCTTCTCTTGTCTTTGGGGCCGGCCCCATTGCATACAATTCAACTTCTCCTCGCAGGCCAAGGCAGAGAAACGAAAAGCAACAACAGCTAAAATGGAGGTGGACAGACAAGAAGAGCCCGAGTCGCCCATGATCGAGGACTTCCTTGATTGCGATCAGTTTGGTACGGACTCGGACGCCGACAGTTCCGGCAGCTTCTCTCCCCAAAGGTCTCTCAAACGCCTTCACATCCACGTCGAAATGAGCAACGCCCACTTCCTGGCGCCCCGAGCGCACCACGGCGAACAACCACAAATTGACGGCCTCCCAATCTGCACCAGCGGCCCGACCACGGCGGGCTTCCCTTCTGCCGAGCTTGATCCCTACAGCGCAGTAGGTTTATTTTCCCCGTATCCTCCAGGCATGGGCTCTTGCTCTCAAGCCTCGAGGCCCCTTCCCCAGCTCACCATTCATGTCATAGGTTTCCGGTGTCTCCTCTTTCAACTATCCTGCTGCTGCAGACCCAAGCCTTCTCACACCCGCGACCAGCTCCGGGAGCCCTCCTCTCCCAAGCAAACAGAGTGCGAAGCCCGGCCAAAGCGGCTACCACCACCCCCAAACCCAGTCTCTCACAACGCAGGCACCCACTCCTCCGGACACCTCCAAGATGTTCAACTACAACGGCTACGAGCTCAACTCGGGCAGCCAGAGCCCGTCCCCCATGACGGTCAACCCGGCTGTGACGGAAGCCGGCGCTTTCATGTCGAACTACCCCATGACCCACTCTCCTCCGCTGAGCCACCATCCTTCATCGCCCAAGACCGAAATCCCACCTCCGATCGATCCTTACCTGGGCCACTTCACCGTTTCAGCCAACGACGGTGAGGTCACTCACCCGCACTCCATGGCGGACTACCACCCATACGCCGTCGATGTCACCCAATCGGGACACTACCTCCACCAGCCGCACGTCCCAGTCGGCACACCGCACATGCACCACCGCATGCCCTCGAACACCACAACCCCGGACATGTCGCACCCGGCCCAGTTCCACCCACAGTCCACTGCTCGCCCCGGCGCCATTGAGGATCTCCGAGACCCGGCCATGCTCCTCGGCCCTTACCCGCCCCACGGAGCGCCCAGCCCTGGCCGGAGAGCCCCCCCACGAAAAAAGGCAGTCTCGGCCAGGAAAGCGTCCCGGACACCCAAAATGCCCGCTCACAGCAGGGAGGGCTCCACCGGTGGCCCTTCCCAGCTTAGCGAGGACGGCGAGGAGCTGACACTGCGGGACGACGCTCCCGAGGATGACAAGTTCCTCTTCCAGCTTCGGAAACAGTTCATCTCGGAGAAGGGCAAGGGCATGTGGGAGGAGATGAAGGCCAAGTACTCGGAGAGTCACCAAGGCAACTGGGAGAAGGCTGCTCTTCAGATGAAGGTCTCTCGTGCCGTGGCGCGGTATGGTGTCTGGCCGAAACGAGAGGTAAGTTCGAATCAAACAGCCTCCCCGAATCCTATGGTCGATGATGAAAGTGCTGACGAAATCCCTTCTCCCCTTGCTTAGATCGAACGCTTGAAGGAAGCCTTTGACTACTTCGAGGAGATGAGATACCAGTTCATCATTGCCCGGATGAAGGAGATGGGCGGGTGCCAGGTGTGGGACTGGAAGCGGGCACACGTCATTGCGATGCTGGTCAAGCTGGGGCTCGAGGAACCGACGGTCAACGAGAAGACAGGCACACGCCGGCGCAAGCAAAAGGCTGCCGCGCGCCGACAAGGAAGCCCCCCAAGCAGTGCCGGCCACCCGTCAATGATGAGCGACTGGCCCACTGGTCTCGGTCTGCACCACGCCGCATACCACGCCCAAGCCCACCACGTCGCCAACGCCGCGGCCATCCGCCAGCAGCACCATCACCACGGGCAGTACGACACCATGATGGCGGATGGCTTTGCCCCGCAGTCCACCCTGACCTCCAAAGAGGAGGAGGATCTCATCAACGATGTCTTCAACGACGTCAAGGCCGAGCGCAGCCTCAGCCCCGAGGACGACGCGATGGCTGATGACGAAGACCAGCAGACTCCTGTCCCCTCGTACGGCAACGGCAAGCAGCATCCAGATACCCCCGGCGCGAGGCGTCTATCTGTGGCACAAGATCTCAACAACCGTCCCCCCAGCGTGCGGGTGGCGCGACAGGCGTGCGACCAGATGCTTCAGCACTCCCCGACACAATTATCTGACCCTGCTGCTCATTACGGCGCGCAGTGAGATGAGAGAGAGAGCCGGGAGTTCGAGCGGGTGGATGACGATGTGGGCCAAATACGGCGGCACAGTCACGGCGTCGAGTGGGGAAAGGGAACGAGGAACGAGAATGTGGGAAGAGACATGGCCAATCCATTCAGGGCAACCTCCGCAGCGGGCTGTTTTTTTTTCTCTTGGTTTTTTGGGGTCTCTTTTTGAACCTGCTTTTTGGGAGTTTGGGGATCTGGGGACGGGGCTTTTGAAGATCTGGTTTGGTTCGGCTCCCCTGAATTGTGGGCGGCAATCTTGTATTTTTTCGTCGGTTTATACCTGCATCGCCACGATCTTGTTGTTTTTGGTTTTCATTTGCATGGTTTTACCGGTTCGGTGGGCCATTCTCTTTCGTTTACTTTTCCTTTCCTATTTTACTCTACATTACGAGCAACCGTAACATTGAAGACATTGGTGCCTGCTCACGCACTTCATTACGATTAAACCATGTATCTCAAAAATAAGGATTACTCAAACCCCGTTCCATTTCGCTAGATCGCGCATCGGTGGGTCAAATCTCTACGGCGAAGCTCGGTGGCGGGGCGTATCGGTGTTTCGAGCTCGAGTCCTTCAGGTTCTCTCAATGTGGAATCCGTCATCCATCTCGCACCTTGTCACCTTACCTTGTCTGTGGCGAAGCCAGGAACGTCCCGATGCCTCCCACGCTTCGTTTCATCGCAGCATTTAAATCCCGATCCGGTAAATGAGATTGATGACATGGCAAGGCATCAAGCGATGGTTGTCGTACAATCTCCTCGCCCCATGGGAAACAATTCATGATTTTCCGCTCACGGGACCCAGGGCCCCAAGTCGTTCCCAAAACATGGCCTGTCCGCTCTTCGCCTTGATACTATTTTAGTTACGCAATTCAAAGTCGGACCAAAGACAAAAAAGAGCCGTCTTTCGTCCCAAGTCCTTGGCGGTGAGACATGGGGGACGCAGGTGCCTGAGCAGTCGCAAAGCCACGCTCCGATGGGGAGCGAATCCTCCGAGATCCAAAATCCCCGATCCCGCGTGCCACGGTCGCACAAAGGTCTTTTTGCCTCTGCGATTGCCGCAAAAGACAATTATTTATTAATACCGAATGGGGAAATTCCCACACAGCAGGGTGCACAATGGCGGAGTTGGGATCTTGTGCGAGCGGAAGAGACCGAAAATGACAAAGTGAAGGATAACGTTAGGTAGCGATGTCGGTGGGCCATAATTGCGGGAATGGCGGTTCCCGAAACGGTTCTCCCTCTGAGTGAGCGAGGCGTTTATTTCCTTGCGTGGCGTTTCTGACTGTGTGTTTGATCTGGGGATGCGAGATCGACTTGAGAACATGTGTGGGTGTGGACGCAAGAAGAGAAAACAGGGTTGAATGCAGCTTTCCATTGTGACCCCGCCTGTCCTCCCGCGTGCTGTTCCTCGAAGCCACGAAGGCTTGCCCACATGCATGAAGTCGGGAAGAACTCGGAGAACCCTAAAATTTCGCAATCGTCACAATCGTCACGATTCAACTCTTGCGATTGTGTCTCAGCTTTCGCAACAACTGCCCTAACAAACAGCGAACAGCAATCCTTTCGTTATCATCCACATTTTTATTTCCTTCTCCAGCCGCCAGGGGCAAGCAAACAAGCAAGGGACCCCTTCTTCATGGGGTTATTTCAACCCAAGCACTTTGCATCGTGCGGGCGAAAACCAAAGCATCACCAGGACTCTCCGAAAACCTTCGGACATGACATCGAAAACACAAAAAAACGACCCCAAGTCAAGGCCAAAAGCAAAGTAGCAGCCCCGGCAGGATCCCTGGGGCCCCACCCGCTAACTTAGCGTCCGCTGGCAGTGTGGCATGGTCAGGAAATCGAGCGATTGGCAAAAGGTGCGGAGTGGACTCCTATACAAGCTCGAAAAAGGCAGGAGTTAACGCTGTGCATCCCGCACTAAATCTCGGGGACGCTACTGCAGGACAGGTAAGCAGCCCGGGGGTGCCCGAGGGGTTGAGCAGGGGGGTGCCAAAGGATGGAAGGGCGGTTTTTATTGGTGTTCAGGAATGCGTGCCAGATACGTCACGTGCCTGGTCAAGTGACCATCTAGGCTATGCGGCCTGTTGCATCTTTGGTCAAAAACGAACAACCAAAACCCCACATAGGCCACGGAAGCTCCCCGGAAAGCGTTGAACCAGGGTTCCATGCTCAGCCAGTCAGTCGCTCGACACGGCCAGCGGAGGCGGAAGCGGAAGCGGAACTGGAAACAGACTTCCCTCCAACGATCAACGCACACACTGAGGAGCCTGTGTGCTCCCTTCGTCCCAAGCCCGTTGATTCGGCATTTTCTGGCAGTAAAAAAGAAAGTTGGGAGCAGAGTCTCGTCAGAAAATCTCAAGAAAAGGACGGGGAAAATTGGCCCTAGTTCGCCTCGCCCGGCCAAGCCAGCCAAAAATTCAAAACCCTCGCGCAGAGACCAACAGGGTGCATGGGGTTTAACTCATTCGGTCGCCATCTGGAACGTGACACAAACACAATTCTCTTCTGCAGATCCCGAGAAGAGATGGGGAGGAGGTGGAAAGCGACGCACAGGAAATCGACATGCCACCCTTGGAAACCAGCCATGGATGGGCAAAACGGGGGACGAAATCCCCTCTCCCATCACATAACGCGTCCTGTCGAACAGTTTCGCTTAGGCGTGTTAGCCGCCGAGATGGAGCTGGCCCCCGACCCGCGATGCCGCGGTTGGTTGGATTGCCTGTGGACTCTGAGAGGTGTATCCGCGGGAGCCGTGCGCCTGTTGACGCTTTGCGTTCCGAGTACCGCGGGTAAAGAAATGCGATGGGCAGCATTTAAC